ACCGGCAAAACGATTACTTTGGAAGTGGAACCTTCCGATACGATTGAGAATGTTAAGGCCAAGATTCAAGACAAAGAAGGTATCCCACCAGACCAACAGCGTTTGATTTTTGCTGGAAAGCAATTGGAAGATGGCCGCACCCTTTCCGACTACAATATTCAGAAGGAATCCACTTTGCATTTGGTACTCCGTCTTCGTGGTGGCATGCAAATTTTTGTGAAGACTCTCACCGGTAAAACAATTACACTCGAAGTGGAGCCATCCGACACAATCGAGAATGTTAAGGCGAAAATCCAAGACAAAGAAGGCATTCCTCCCGATCAACAACGTTTAATTTTTGCCGGAAAGCAATTGGAAGATGGTCGCACCCTTTCGGACTACAACATTCAGAAAGAGTCCACTTTGCATTTGGTACTCCGCTTGCGTGGAGGTATGCAAATTTTTGTTAAAACGTTGACCGGAAAAACTATAACACTCGAGGTTGAGCCTTCAGATACCATCGAAAATGTGAAGGCGAAAATTCAGGACAAAGAAGGCATCCCACCAGATCAGCAACGTTTAATTTTTGCCGGAAAGCAGTTGGAAGATGGTCGCACTCTCTCAGATTACAATATCCAGAAGGAGTCGACTTTACATTTAGTACTCAGACTTCGTGGTGGTATGCAGATCTTCGTGAAAACCCTTACCGGTAAAACGATCACGTTGGAAGTGGAACCATCTGACACCATTGAAAACGTCAAAGCTAAAATTCAGGATAAAGAAGGCATTCCTCCCGATCAACAGCGTTTAATTTTTGCGGGAAAGCAGTTGGAAGATGGCCGCACTCTTTCCGATTACAACATCCAGAAAGAATCGACTTTGCATTTAGTACTTCGACTACGTGGAGGCATGCAGATTTTTGTTAAAACTTTGACCGGAAAAACCATCACGCTAGAAGTGGAGCCGTCGGACACCATTGAAAATGTAAAGGCGAAAATCCAAGACAAAGAAGGCATCCCACCAGATCAGCAACGTTTAATTTTTGCTGGTAAGCAACTCGAAGATGGTCGCACATTATCAGATTACAACATTCAAAAGGAATCGACCCTTCACTTGGTTCTGAGATTGCGTGGTGGCATGCAAATCTTCGTGAAGACTTTAACTGGCAAAACGATCACTTTGGAAGTTGAACCCTCTGATACTATCGAGAATGTAAAGGCAAAAATCCAGGACAAAGAGGGTATTCCCCCAGACCAACAGCGTTTGATCTTTGCTGGTAAACAGTTGGAGGATGGGCGTACACTTTCCGATTACAACATCCAAAAGGAATCCACTCTTCATTTGGTGTTGAGATTGCGTGGTGGCATGCAGATTTTTGTCAAGACTCTCACAGGCAAAACGATCACTTTGGAAGTAGAGCCTTCAGATACGATTGAAAACGTGAAGGCAAAAATTCAGGACAAAGAAGGAATTCCACCAGATCAACAGCGTTTAATCTTTGCTGGAAAACAGCTTGAAGATGGACGTACATTATCGGACTATAACATTCAGAAAGAGTCGACTCTCCATTTAGTACTGAGATTACGTGGTGGCTTTTAACATTTTTGCAGTTTTTCAATATTTTTGTATCTTTATTTAAAATTAAAAGGATATGGCTTTGTATGAAATCATAGCAAAATATTAAATTAATTGCAACTTTCACTTTTTATTTTTTCTATATTAATACTTCTACATTTTCAGGTTTGTGTTTACAATAATAAATTAATACCTTGCATACAATTGCGGACCGGTGGGTTTTTGAAACTGCTGTGGAATGCACATATTTTGCTCCTTGTAACTAGCGCTGGTTCTGGAAGGACCACTGAAATTTAATTAAAAAAATTTTGTCATCTTTTTTTGTGCTGTATTATAGGTTGCAGTTATGATGAGTTGGAATGATAAAGCTGGTGGGCTCTTGTCCTTTATTGCAGTTTGTGTTAAAACGCTACTGGTCTTTAGAACAGAAATTTAAACCGAGGGTAATGTGCGAGGTTGTTGCATTTACATTTAAAGCTATGTTGACAAATCCCAATAAATAGGGGGCGGGTGCAGGCGTTATGTCTTCGCCCTTTCGTTAATATGTGACAAAAAACCATACATACCTAGTTTACAAATCACCTCGTCCTTATGGATAGCAGGTCGTCATATTGGTGGAGTTTGGAATTGGCGTTGAATGAATTTTAGTGGCCGATGTAAAGTGCGGAAGCTGCGTTGGGGAGTAGGTAGAACTGTACAGACCCAATGCCGTCTGTCTGTGAAAAGATTCTTGATCGCGGAATTCTGCCTCGTGTGTCCCTATCTGCAAAGAAAAAGGCACTAATTAATTGTTTCTTTTTAACTAACGTACATGCGGGCGCGGTTGTCAAGGAGTTCCTGGAATTCCTGGGGTAGGTGAGTATATGGGAGGGAATTTGAATTTCTCTTTGGGAAGGCGATCTCTTTGTGAGGGTTTCATTACACA